CTCTCTGTTAGGTGTCTAAACGGAAGTAAATATGGTTCTTTTTGTGCCATTATTATTTGAGACCAATCAAAAAAGTAACACACTTGTCTCTATAAGTCATGTTAGAGATATTGAGAAATTTATTAAAAAAATTATCAGAAAAGCTTCATACCCCCACTGGGGGTCGACCCCCAGTGAGGTGTCGGCCCCGGATTGGTCCAAAAAAAAAAACTGTTTTTTTTTTTTTTTTTAAGTTTTCAGCCACTGGGGGCGCGCCACGTCACTGGGGGCGCGACCCCCAGTGGGTGTATGGATCACGGCTCAAAAATTATTAAATACTCACATGAGTGTGACTCTCAAATGTGAATATTTTTTTATATATATATATATGTGAAATTATCAAGATATTTGTGTATTTAGATATCCATACACTGTTATTGAGAGGTAAAATTGTACACGAGTTCCAAAGCAAATTTATGTAATATCCTAATTTATTTCATATTAATTAAAATAGTGAGACTGACAATTTTTATGTTAAATTTTGAGAGGTAATACAACAAGTTATATATTAAGTGATGTGAAATATTGTTGTAAGATCACCTAATAACTTTTCTTGTAGAGATGATGTGCCGTATCTATACCCATGTGAGTGAGGCTCATTTCCTATCTATGTGAAAATTCTTGTTTGATCGTGGTGCTAGGACTGGATTGGATTTAATTCGAATTCAATCCGAAGCCATTTACAAAAAAATCGATCTGGCAATTCGATAATTTGAATTTATTTATTAAACGGATTGAATATATAAAAATCTAATCCGATCTGATAATCTGATCCGATTATTTTTAATTTGAATATAGAAAACGCAAAAAGAAAAAAAAATCAAATTATATAAAATTATAGCTCAATAAATAAATAAATAGATCAAATCAGATTATCGGATCGGATATCTGAAATTATTGGATATGAGATAATGATGCCTTATTCGGGTGATCTATAACCGGATATGAGATAAATGGATTCGGATCATATTCAAGTTTATCTTGATCGGATTCAGATTTTGACAAATCTTACATGCCTTCGCGGTGGACTTACACCATTCCAATTGGCTAGACCTCTTGATGGGAGGGCCCTGATGATAAGGCATCATTGTCAATTCATTAGATCATCCACCCATCATCAGGATGTTTGAGGCACCAGTTCACCTTGACTTAGAGAGTTGTAAACGACGAGTTGAGTTGAATTTTTAAATGTTTAAGTTTGTTTTTTAAAAATTAGTCGACTTCAAGTTTGAACTGAGTTATAGTCGAGTTTCAAAAATCGAGTTCGAACTCCACTTATCAAATATTTGTTAAACTCGGCTCGTCAAAAATCTATCTCTTGGTGAAGTAAAAAGTTGGACTTTATAACAAAACTCATTTACAAACTAAAGGTTTTTTGCAATTAGATGTCAGAAACAAAAAGAAGAGAAAAATCAAAGCATCTAGAAAATAATATGAAATGAAAGCTTGTAAAAGAAAAAAAACCTGAAATGGAATCGACGAAATTTCCATTGATGAAGAGCTTCGTGAACTTTATTTCTGGAATCTTAACAAAACTCTCTGAGCATCCATTGCTTTCATCTGCCATTTCTCTCTCTCTCTCTCTCTCTCCCCCTCTAGTTTGTGCTTCTCTGTCCTCCTGTTAAGTTCACACCATATGTATAGCTTCTTAGGCTTCTTATTTTAAGCTCACACCAATGTCATTATATGTATAAATATATATAGAACCTGACAAGTATGCTCGTCAAGCACGGAACTGTGTAGCGACTGGGAGCTTCTTCCATTTTTTATAATTTATATTAATTTTATATTAACAAATATTCATAAAATATATAATGGGAGATTTCTTAATTTTATAAAAATTGTTTTAGTAACTTTCTATTTCATTAATATTTCAGTGTATGAAAATGATCTTTAATTATTTTAAATTTTAAATAATAGAATCAATTTTATCGGGTCAATTTTATTAATATAAAAGGTGCATGTTACTTATTTTTTAAATTTAAAAAATAAAATGGTATATATAATTTTTTTTATGAGTAACACTAGAGAGTTTAAAATTTTCACTTATAAATTTGTTCACAATAACATTGGAGGGGTTGGGTCTTAATTGATTTATTTTTAACTAAATTAATTGATGTCTAACATTCAACGTCATTGAATGTAAATTTAGAAATTATGTTTAAAAGGCTTTAAGAATTTGGTTCTTACACATGAAATCATGACAGCCAACTTCCTATACTTCTAGTTAAATCTCACTTTAGTTCTTACATATGAAATTATGACAGTTAACTCCTTGAACTTATGAAATTGTGACAATTAACTCCCTGCACTTCTAGTTAGGTGTAAATGTCTCTTTTTTGTTATTTCATCATATAAGTCTTTGACATAAGTCATTAATGTGACAATTATATGACTATAAAATGAGGATAAAAGAGAAAAATCACCCAAAATTTTCGTCTATACACATTTCGTCCTTAAATTTACATCAAATTTTGATTGTACTCAATTAAAATAAAACACAAATTATGAATGATTCAGGAGATAAACTAGGGTTTTGCAAAAATTGGAATAATGAAACTTTGTTTTCTACAGTAACAAAGTTTTCGATTTCTTTACTATGTTTCTTCTTTTAATTTAAAAAATTTTATTTTCTTGTTCGTCCTAATTTTCAACATATGAACACATACACACACATATATTATATTATATAACTCTCACATGCTTATCACGTGGGACAAAGTATGTATTGATAGGAAATGAGAATTATTTTCCTCTTGCCCTCATTTCGTAGTTACATGTTTGTTATATGACTAGATTCTATTAAAAACTTAAATAATGGAGTAATAGAAGGGAAAAATTGACATTTGACGAGAAGTGTAGGGAGTTGATTGTTACGATTTTATGTATAAGAACCAAAGTCGAATTTGACCAAAGTGAGATTAATTGTCACGATTTCACGTGTGAGAACTAAAATGAGATTTAGTACAAAATGTAAGAGTTTAAAGTATAATTTATCCAAACTCATGATTTAGTCCCTAATAGCCCTCATAAGAAAAAATTATATTGAAGATAATGGTAACATCACTCTTCATAATATATGAAAATTACTTATTGGGCGCTGACACTCATCATTATATTTAATATTTTCTCTAAAATAAAATTTTATTATATTATTGAGCTTTTAATGCAAATACAGTTAAATAAATCTTTTTCAACGTGAAGAGGACGTGGGGTTACTATAAGTTTGGGAGGCTTATTCCGGGCCTAATTTGGTGAATTGAATTGTTCATATAGTAAAATCTATCGGGGCATATCAAATAAGTTAATTGGATATCTTAATCACGTAATAAGATTATATTTATTTTTTAAAAAATAAACAGCAAGCATGATTTTAATAATAAATCATCAATTTTTAAAAAAAATAATAATTAGGACCTAATCTTGTGGTTAGGGATTTTGATCAACTTGATTGTTTTTTATAAAGAGTAGTGACAATCTATGAGAATATCTCAAGTAACTCTTTCTTTCTTGTGTATATATCTCCGGTAACTCTGTCTTTCTTATATATTTTTAATTATCAATCAATTATCATTTTTATATATTATTAGATCTTAAGAATGAGTTTAGAAAGTGAACTTTTATATTATTTTTCTTTTATAAATAATCTACTTTAACCCTATAATATGAATAATAAACCATCTATATGGTTTGAATTATTGGATTAGGCCGAGGAAAAGACCCTCTAGACCTCACAATAGAAACCAGAGTCCAAATAAGTAATCAAACAATCATTCATTTATTCAAGTATACAATCAATTATATTTATTTTATTTGAAAATATTTAGGAAAATATAAACTAAATTTAAAATTCAACATAAAAAATATATGGAGGGACCAAATTTTACCAATTTATTAGTGGGGTGTAGACTGTAGTTCTACAAAATTAGTTGGGGTGCAGTTCTTGACACTACAGGAAATTCATTTTTTAGCGGCGTTTTGAAAACGCCGCGAAAAGCCTGAAAAACGCCGTAATATCTTATAGTGACGTGTAAAATTTTCGCCGCTAATAGGGCCGCCGCAATAGCTACCCAACGTTTAAAAAACGTCGCTAAAAATATTATACGGCGTTTCTTAAAACGCCGCAAAATCTTTGACGACCGTCTCACCCTCCGTCCCAAATTAACGTGTGTCCCAAATTAACGTGTGACGTCACAATAACGTCATTTAGTGGCATTTTTTAAAAAAACGCCACACGCCACTATTTTTTTATTTTTTTAATTTTTAAATTTGTGGTGACAATGACGTCATTTTGTGGCGTTTTCCCAAAAAATGCCACTTTTTTTCTTTTTTTTTTATTTATTTTTATTATAGTGACAATGACGTCACTAGTGCAGTTGCAAGTATACCTAGAATGTTTTGGGGCGGGGGGGAGGGGGGATTCTAAATTAGTGCAGTTGCAAGTATACCTAGAATGAATATGTTCACATTTTATTTTCTGTCTTTTTTTTCCAAGTGTAGCATTTTAAAACCTGCAAATCAAGTAATGTTCTATATTTTAAAACCAGCAATTCATCAATCTCTTGATCTCAATGGGTTGTTCACCCCTTATTCAACATCAGTGATTATACCCAACAACAAAGTATATCTGGATCTCTGCAATTCAAGTCATGCCCCATAACAACACAATATCATTGACTCTATTATCCAAAACATGTAGTTCATTTCTAGCTAATTACAAAGTAACTTGAAAAACAAAACAGTTATGATTTACAAAAAAAATGAAAAAAAGTATCGTCTGTGTTTCCTAGATCGCTCCAGACCTAGGGAGCAAGCAAATCATATCTTTGGTAAGAGCAACAATTTTCAGATTTTGCGTCTCCCAATTCTGTTGTGCACTGTGCACTATATTCGTCACTTGCTATTAAGCCGAAAGCAACAAGCAGCAAAAACATTTCTGCAAAATCTGATGTTTTGTAGCACAACATCATCAATTGCCAAGCAGCCACTCTGACTTAGATAATGGAACTCAACAGCCGATTTTAGATTCAGTCTATCTGTAAAGAAATATATGACACGAAGTCAGAGACCATAAATTTTCTTAGGTTAGCTGATATAGAGAACCACATCATATATCTCATCAGAAATGTCTCTAGCTTCTTAATAAAAAAATATAATTTTCTACATCATGTTATTGGAAACCCAGAATGGATCTCAGATTCTATCACTTCAACAACTATTTCTAGATTCACTGAACTTCCATGAATAAAATAATGATAGGATACAAACAACCTTTGAGGCCAGACGGAGCACCAGCACAAAGTTGGTAAAAGATATGGTATGACCTTTCTCCATGAGCGAGCTGAACCACTCTTGACTGCTCAAAGAAAACATCATATACTTTTATCAGGCATGTGTTATTTATATAAACAAAATAAATAAATACATACGAGTTTATAGTGGAATCAACATACCTTTTCCAGCAGAACTATCCATGATTATTGAAGGAGTTGATGTTTTACAACACATATGCAATCAAAAAATAAATCAAGCTAGTAAACACAATTGAACAGAAGGGAAGCATAAAAAAAATTGCTAAATAAATCAAGGAGTTGATGTTTTACAGCACATATGCAATCATAAAAATTGCTCCTTGGCTTTAGTAAAATTAGAGTTTGTATAATACATATTACCCGAGTTTGGGAGTAGGCGAGATTGGGTGTGAGAGTTTCAGAAGTCCCCATCTGTTCCACCCACCTATTGCGGAGTCACCTGTTCCCATTGCTTAGCGACTCCCCTTTCCCCATACCCCCTTAGACTCTGTATTTAGTTATGTCTAAATTACCTCCTGAGTTGTTTTACCAGCAATCTGATGCCTTCCCCTTTCGATTGCAGGGACCTACTTTAGTCTCAATAAAATGGGGAACAATGTACAAACAACAATTTCCTATTTGAAACCCAAACAAAATTTCATAATTTTAAATGTATCACAAGATTTCTTCTCATGTTGATGCACTGAAGAACTCTTGGCCGCTAGCCTAGGTCACACAGCCAAAGTCGAAGTTACTCTCCGATAAAGCTACAATGGAAAAAAGTAAGTTTCAATGCATAATAATTTCCAGTGTAGATATGTATATTATTATCAATGAGTTTGAATTCTTATACCTTTTAAGAATCCCCAATATGTGTTACTTTTTCACTTCCGAATGGAAAGGTCGACGTGCAGGTAAGCTACACAAGCCATGAAAAAGAAGAAAAACACAGATGCCAACATCAATGGCTCGGCGAGCATGAATATTGGGTTGAAGCTGTAGTAAACCTGCAATAGAAGATATCAAGTGAACATAAATGCCATAGCCATTATGAAATATATATAAGTCATAAAAAATAAATAAGAGAGAGAGAGAGAGAGAGAGAGAGAGAGAGAGAGAGAGAAGGAAATACTCCATGCTGGGTGGAGGAAACACACAAACACACCAAATGGGAACAGTTAATTAGTCTTTGTAGCCAGTGATGTCTATAGAATCAACGGTGATAGCAAATCGGTGACAATTATCCTGTTAAGCATGGCCTAACCTAAGAATTAGACCCATAAAAGGTAAAAGATAAGTAAACTCAACCTATCAAAACCATTCATAATTTTAGCAAAAGGTCAAAGAATGAAAAACCTCAATGGCCATGATCATCACTGCAAATAATTACCAAATTAATATAATCAAGAGATGCCCTGACTTCATTGCAACAAGAAAAATATGCCTAGTATAAAGCTATACTTTGCATCTAGGGTGAATCCGATGGCAGTTCCAGTTTCTCTCCTATAATAACACCATTACTTGGGTTCGCACTATTCTCCTGTCCATGTAAATGATAGAGGCTGTATGAAAGCTAGAATAACACCATTCCTTGCATTAAGGTCGAAAACTATGTGGGTGATAAAGAGCAAGTGGGTTGGTTGTGGAGCACTTGGACATGGTAGGCACTGAGATGACGAAATCGCTTAAGGTGGGCAGGGTGAGAGTTGACATGGTCTTAGGAAAAGAAAGAGAGAGTGCAGTAACAGTGGGCCAGAGAAGTGTTGAACCAGAGTCTCCAAGTTGTCAGGCAAGGATTAAAACTTCGTTTAGATGTATAGTTTTGCATAGGTTTTGGCATCAGCATCCATGGTGGGCCAATACTAATAGTAATTGAAATGGAGCAAGTGCTCAAATAACTTGGCTGTGTTCAGCCTCGTGAACTTTCTCAAGAACCTGGGGAATTTCAATGCCCACTAAACACAAGGGGATTGTTGTTAAAACCTCGGCACAAGAGCTTGGTGGACAAAGAACCAAAGCACTAAATTCTTGATCACAACATCAGTACGATTTGAAGGGAGAGACCTCTTTATGAGCAGGGGTGGAACTACATAGGGGCCAAGAGAGCATAATAAACTATATTATAAAATGTAGTTATTTCAAGCCGAGTAATACCATGTAAAAAAGCTACCTTGATGTTTACAACTCCAAGTACTTTCCATAACTTCTTTTTCTTTTTCTTTTTCGATAAAAAAGTATTTTCCATAACTTCTTAAAGTAATCAAAGTATATTGTTCACAGATAACAGTCTACAAAATATGTCATCTATAAATGCAAGAAACAAGAGTAAAAAGTATGTTCCTTATCAATGAAAAAAGGTTTAAACATAACATAACAGGCTTTTACTTTATATTAGATATCTTCTTTGTTCACTAATGACTCTTTTAACATTTTTTAAAATACTATCTATATTTTTCTGCAGACAATGTACATACACAAACTGGAAACATGATAAACAGCTAGAACAATACCTGGACACCAGGCAACGCTATTAGCTGAGAAATGAACTCAGGGTGACCTGGCCATGCTGCTCCAGTTACCAGATTCGACTTATTGGATCAGGTTTTAACCATGTTGCCCCACCTAAGACCACGTTGAGTTTCACTGCAGGGTATGCGGTACATTTCTTGCCCTGCAAAAGAGTCCATCGCTAAATCAGAACACAGTAATAGCACACCAGCATAAAAAAAATTGCTAAATAAATCAAGGACAAGTAGGATTGTTTCCCTCTAATTTGCAATTTTGCTTTTAAAAAAAGATGCATAAGAATGTTATGTAGTGAGAAATTATTAGAGATTTTCACCAAAAAAAATAAAGAAGAATTGTCACACAAATAATTGAATATTTTCTCATTGCAAAAATATTCCAGTGGAAGATAATTTTCTCATTGAATCTTAAATTTATTGAATATAATCTATTTTTGTTTGTTTACTTGAAAAATATAATTTCATATATGTAATTTTTTTGAAACTCTATTTAGCTAGTAGAGTTTCAAATATTAGCTACATTTAGGACTATAGGCTACCGATTTTCTATAAAATAAAAAATAAAAAACTGCACATAAATTTTGTCAAACAGAAAATGTAAACATGTGGCAAGTGAATATTATGAGTTAAGAAAACATACAGGCTTATTTGTTGACAAAGATTTGCTTGAAAATGTTGCTTTAAGTTAGTTGAACATGTTCCAACATGTTTGAAGCAAATTCTAATTAATTAATAATTAGTTATCGACCTCTTAATCATATGTTTGATTCTCTAATCTTTTTATGTGTTCTTAAATATATATATCTATATATATATATATTATCCATGCATATGAAAATACTGATCATCACTGCAAATAATTACCAAATTAATATAATCAAGAGATGCCCTGACTTCATTGCAACAAGAAAAATATGCCTAGTATAAAGCTATACTTTGCATCTAGGGTGAATCCGATGGCAGTTCCAGTTTCTCTCCTATAATAACACCATTACTTGGGTTCGCACTATTCTCCTGTCCATGTAAATGATAGAGGCTGTATGAAAGCTAGAATAACACCATTCCTTGCATTAAGGTCGAAAACTATGTGGGTGATAAAGAGCAAGTGGGTTGGTTGTGGAGCACTTGGACATGGTAGGCACTGAGATGACGAAATCACTTAAGGTGGGCAGGGTGAGAGTTGACATGGTCTTAGGAAAAGAAAGAGAGAGTGCAGTAACAGTGGGCCAGAGAAGTGTTGAACCAGAGTCTCCAAGTTGTCAGGCAAGGATTAAAACTTCATTTAGATGTATAGTTTTGCATAGGTTATGGCATCAGCATCCATGGTGGGCCAATACTAATAGTAATTGAAATGGAGCAAGTGCTCAAACAACTTGGCTGTGTTCAGCCTCGTGAACTTTCTCAAGAACCTGGGGAATTTCAATGCCCACTAAACACAAGGGGATTGTTGTTGAAACCTCGGCACAAGAGCTTGGTGGACAAAGAACCAAAGCACTAAATTCTTGATCACAACATCAGTACGATTTGAAGGGAGAGACCTCTTTATGAGCAGGGGTGGAACTACATAGGGGCCAAGAGAGCATAATAAACTATATTATAAAATGTAGTTATTTCAAGCCGAGTAATACCATGTAAAAAAGCTACCTTGATGTTTACAACTCCAAGTA